ACCGTTTGCCTATTGTTATCTCTTGGTCAGCAATGCAAATATTAGGATGATGATTGACATCATCAGATGAGGCTTTGAAAGCTGTGCTTTTCTGCGTTAGGGATAACGGCTACGGTCGGCGCCGCCAACTAAGAGTAAGGTATGCAATTAGTCTTTGGTGACCTTGCTGAGTTCCTTCCTCTCGTGTAAAAGTAGTTTTTTCTTCGTTTGTAGCTCGGCTGAAAATCACTATAAATTTCAAAATTTGTTGAATTGCAAAGGATACATATAGCCCCTGATGGTTATGCTTTCCCCACTACAATTCACGCAGCGTCAGGGCTTTAAAGCATTTTTAAAAGATTCTCTACAAAAGTCAACAAGCAGTTTATATACCTCACTAGAGTAGGGGAGATAGGGGTAAACTACCAATGCTAAGGAAGATTCCTATTTAAGCCACAAAGTGAATCGGTATTTAAGTGCAATACCACCTATTTGGCAGGCCTGCAATTGCTCATTACAGCTAAAATGCTATTTTTCGGTATTATGAAACAATAGGATACTATAATGATAATTTTTATTTGTAAGATGCAAGAAGAGGTGATAAAGTTTGTATATGACATATAAAATTTGTCAATTTTGCTTTCAGAAGGTCACAACTAGCGATTAGCTGTAACGATGAGCAACCCAACAAACAATTTTAGCTGCAGCTTAGCTTATACAGGCAAAAATTAGCTGCATAAGGCAAATTTTGGCTGTATAAGCTAATCTGCAGCTAAAATTGTTTGTTGGGCAACGCGATGAGCGAGCAATCAGCGATCATAAAATCGCTAGTTGTGACCTTCTGAAAGCAAAATTGACAAATTTTATATGTCATATACATACTTTACCACCTCTTCTTGCATCTTACATTTACTTAAGACTTACCTTACCAATCAGGCTAAGTCCTTGTTGTCCTATGCTGTCCGAAGAAGTCGTCTCCACTCTACTCGATCCATGCCACACTTCGCCAGCCTCGTAGTCTGCGAAGGGTCCGCAGGTCGCCTTATACTTGGTCGATCCACCTTGCCGCTGCGCACCTCTTCTTCTTGTTCCTGTTTGGTCGCTTTCGAGAACCATTTTCACTGGGTTGTCGTGCGGCATTCTTACGACGTGCCCAGGTTCATTCGCCTCCTCCACGTTCCGTCATCCATCTGCACTCCACCGTAGATGGTACGCAACACCTTCCGTTCGAAAACACCACCGTTGGTCCTCCACGAGCATAGTCCAGGTCTCGTGGCCGTAGAGGACCACCGGTCTAATCAGCGTCTTGTAGACAGTCAACTTCGTGCGGCGGCGAATTTTATTCGACCGGAGCGTCCTCCGGAGTCCAAAGAAGGCACGATTCCCTGCCATAATGCGTCTTTGAATTTTTCTGCTGGTATCATTATCGATGGTCACCAGTGAGCCCAAATACACGAACTTATCGACCACCTCGATTTCGTCACCGTCAATCTGAACTCGGGGTGGGAAGCTAACATTGTCTTCCCTAGAACCTCTTCCTTTCATGTATTTTGTCTTTGATGCGTTGATGGCAAGTCTAATCCGCCTAGCTTCAGCATTCAGTCTGACTTCCTGAAGATCGTGCCACTCGTGTCTATCCCAGCTCTTCTGATCACACCTTCTAACGCGATGTTGAATAGCAGACACGAAAGTCCATCACCTTGCCGTTACCCCCTTCGAGATTCAAAGGGACTCGAGAGTGTCCCCGATACTCGAACAACGCACATCACTCGATCCATCGTCGCCTTGACCAATCGCGTCAGTTTATCCGGAAATCCGTACTCGTGCATCATTTGCCATAGTTGATCTCGATCGATTGTGTCGTATGCGGATTTGAAATCGATGAACAAATGATGTGTGGGCACGTTTTATCCGCGGCATTTCTGCAGAACCTGCTGAATCGCTAAAAATTTGGTCCGTGGTAGCGTTGGCACCTATGAATCCCGCCTGGTATTGCCTCACGAACTCTCTTGCAAATGGTAACAAGCGGCGACATAGAATTTGGGAGAGTACCTTGTAGGCGGCGCTCAGCAGTGTGATCGCGCGGTAGTTGCAGCAATCCAACTTGTCGCCCTTTTTGTAGATTCCGCATACGACACCTTCCATCCACTCCTCCGGTAATATCTCCTCCTCCCAAATCTTGGCAATTACCCAGTGCAGCGCTCTAGCCAGTGCTTCACCACCGTATTTTAATAGCTCACTTGGTAGTTGATCTACACCCGTTGCTTTGTTGTTCTTCAGCCGACCGATCTCCTCCTCAACTTCTTGAAGATCAGGGGCCGGTAGCCTGTCGTCTTCTGTGCGTGCTCCAAGGTCTGTTGCCGTGCCACCTTCGTTTTCTGCTGCTTCACCGTTGAGGTGCTCGTCATAGTACTGCTTCCGCCTCTCAATCACCTCACACTCGTTCGTGAGGAGGTTACCGTCCATGTCCTTGCACATATCGGCTTCTCGTAGAACTTCTGTGTGTCGTTTACGCGGTACAGATTTACCATCGCCTCACGATCTTGGTCTTCCTGCTGACGCTTCTTCCTTCGGAAAACCGAGTTTTGTCTGTTCCGCGCTTGTCTGTATCGCTCCACATTCAATCTCGTGCGATGTTGCAGCATTTTCGCCCGTGCTGCATTCTTCTCCTCTACTAACAGTTTGCATTCGCCGTCAAACCAGTCATTTTTTCGGTCCAGGATTGCAGTACCTAGTGCCGCTGCAGCAGTACTACCTATGGCGGAACGGATATCCCTCCAGCCATCTTCAAGAGAAGCTGCGCCAAGCTGCTCTTCCGTGGGTAGTGCAACTTCCAGCTGCTGCGCGTAATCCTGGGCAACTACGGCGTCCCGTAGTTGCTCAATGTTGGGTCGCGACGTTCGACTTCGACCGGTGTTATGCACCGTCGAGAGTTTTGGCCGCAAGCTTACTGCAACTAGGTAGTGGTCCGAATCTATGTTCGCACTGCGGTACGTGCGGACGTTGATAATCTCGGAGAAGAATTTCCCGTCGATTAGAACCTGATCGATTTGGTTTTCTGTGTGTTGGTCAGGTGATCTCCAAGTGGCTTTGTGGATATCCTTGCGGGGGAAAAGGTACTTCTAACTACCATACCTCGAGAGACTGCAAAGTTCACGCATCGTTGGCCATTTCTCTCCAGGTACGGGTCAATGTTTGTCTGAGGCTTGCTGTACTCGGGTGGCGTTTAGAACAGACCTTGGTTTTCATGACGTGCCATATTGAGTAATCCAGCGGCTGGATGGCGGCCACATATCTTTCGCCCAGAACGGAAGATGTTCCTGCAACCACTTCTGAGTGCGGTTCGAGGTGTGGCACGGAGCCCCATCTTGTTGAAATACAACATTTGGCTTCGGACCGTACTGTTCTTTGATCCACGGAAGAACATACTTACTTGAAATCCCGATGTAGACCTCCGTGTTGACCTTGTCGCCTTCTGGAATGAACACCATTTTTTTGCCATCGGAAGCCACCAATCCAAACACCATAACGCTAGCAGGATGCTTGGTCAGATACACGTTCTTGTGCTCGTCGGCCACGTCTTTTACCGGAAGAGAACTAATATACGGGTTGGTTCTGGAATTTTATACGGGATCGACGGTAAACATGCTCTCGTCGGTGAACAGGATTACCGGATTTTTTCGCTTAAGGTAGTTCAAGATTTTCTTGCATCGTTCGACTCGTAGCTCCCGGATGCGGTTGGTAATCATGTGAGTTTTTTCCGTGCCCTCGACTTCGCCCCGCAATCTTCCTTTACGATCTTCCGTGCCGTAAAGTCACTGTGTTCCTTTGCCATTTTCCTTATTGAACGCACTGGATTCACCCGAATCTTCCTTTTGATTGCAGCGATAACCCTCGGAACCCGAGCTGACCTCGGACGAGCTGTGGCCACCTTCGCGGATAGTTGTCCTTTCTTTTCTCGGTCTAAAACCCTTTTGACGGTCCACCGGGACACTCCCACGGCGATTGAAATGTCTTTTTGCGACATTTGCGCGTGGGACAAATCACGAATACGCTGCCACTTCGTCATGGTGCAACTGTCAAACTAAGTAAATCATTTTCTTTTATACACAGCCTACTACGGTATGAGCGAATCATTGTTGAGACGAGGTTTTTTTTAAACATGAAAACCGTCTGCTTCACCCGGGGTCCACGAAATCTAGTCCAGAATTAGCTGGATAGCTGTCAAGGGGCTTGTATCGATACCATCCATCGTGTAACCGTGCCGCGTCGTCGGAAGTTCGTGATTATTTGAACCGCATTCACGGATTAATTATCCATCGAAAAACACTGATTTGGTGTTGGCATAGTGTCTGGATTAGATTTGTGCATTTGATTGATTTTATACGCACGATCCAAAACTCTAGTTCCACATTTGAAACAAGATACAATTCCATTCATCCGACGTAGCTTTGTAAATTGAAATTCAAAGACCAATCTAGATGAATGGGGAACCATTTTCCGCAAGAAGATAATCAACGATGGAGTTTCTCAGAAAGATGGCTTTCGCTAATTTTACATCAATAGACCTTTTATACGAAAACTTTCCCTTTTATAGACTCACCAAAAACCAGACCGAACACAAAAGACTATCCTCCATCGGCGACCGCATGGAAACTGCCCATTTATCGAGATTAAGATCTTTCCATTCAGAGCACCCACTGGTGGGTGATACTACCCAGACAGTCACAGGTCGAATCCTAAAATTACCTCCAAACGATATCACGCCTCGTTTACTTTACATCTGTGGGTACGGTGACGTCAACCCCCCCCCCCCCCCACCTCCTTCCCTCACCCCCTTGCTCGAGTGACTTGTTTAACATCCTGTTCAAAGTTGCTATGCCTGCATTGTCGCATAAACTTTGTGCATGAGAAACTTTCTCCGGAATCCGCTTTCTCCAGGGAAAACCAACGGCAAAGGAAACCAACTAGAGGACGGTCTGTACAAATCGAGTATTTATTTGATTGTATCTCTCAGTCGTCCTAATAATTCAACCGTCCTCGAGCGGTTTGACATTTTTTTTTCTTCATTGTGGGATCCAATTCCTCCATCTCCGCCAGGTCCCGTACGACATCCTCCAGTAATTGCGCCATCGATTTTCCGGTATTAGCCTGCGGGAGGAAAATGAAAAACTCATTATCCATTCCTCGGCGTGCGGTACGGGGTCCCAAAAAAAAAATACGATTTAATATAGGTACCTACCCCAGACGAATTGATTCGATGGCTTTGACGGTGCATGTTGGGACTAGGTCCTTGTATCGCTGATGACGACGATGACGACGACGACGGTTGAACTTCAACGTGATCGGAATCCGAATGAGTCAGGTTCCGTAGAATTAGCAATGCATCCCGCAGTTCGACTAGCAGCTTTTCCCTAAAGAGGCTCAATCCCGGTTCCAGCCGGTTCGCTACCTCCAGCAGGTCCTGACAGAGTTCCACCTTTCGTCTGAGATCAGATTCCGGGGGTGTTGCTGGAATGCCAAAAAAAAAAAAAGAACTGACAGATGTTATGTGTGTCGAGTGAGAAAATTGTATCCAGACACTTATTGCCTAGTTGTATCACGTTTAGTGTCTTGGAACAGTGATGGAGTACAGAAGGGTGGGCCAACTCTTAAAGCGAGACGTAGCTCCACCCCTACTCAAATGTATTGCTCCACTGGGATTGTGGTCTCCTCAACTGAATGCCACCTATCAATAACAACACTTCTTTTCAAAAGCCACCATCGATTTCCCCCGAAGCGAAACAGTAAATTTACTCCAAATCAAATTTCCTCCGCCAATCCATCACAAATCGTTAGGACTTACCCCTATCATTTCGCCTGCCATACAGCTGCGTAAGGGCGTACTTCACCTGCAGGACATTGGTATTCCACCGGTGTAGCGTCGATTGGTGCGTGGTGAGAAAGTGTTCGTACTCCTCACAGGGAGATTTCCCCCGGGCCAGGGCCATTATCGTTGCCTGAAGATGCTCACTTCGTCGGATGGCGTCCAGTGCCGACTCCCGGTAGGAACATTTCCTACTTTTGCACTGCCACTCGGAGCGCACATCCAGCGGATCGAGGGCAACGACCTTGTTTGGAATGTGTAATTAATGGCATTTAATTGATTGGACCGAGGGCTGAGTGTTAGTTGTTACCTTTTCTTTGGCACACCGAGGGCAGATGATGGATCCGGCGTAGGTTTGGAATTCGGTAGGATCCCGGCAGCGGTCGCAGCCACATTGGAAACACTTTGCCTGCTGGATGGCATAGCGCCGTTGGATGGTGGCCTGCAGCGGTTGTGCGTAGGAAATGCTAATAACCTCGTCCTTCGGTATATCCACTGGAAAGGGTGGGAAAAGAGAACCGGAAGAGCAATTTCAAGACGAGCAGGATACATGTGTTGGCATGAAGCCACAGTTAGGGTTGCGATATGAGCGTTCGCAGAAATGCTTTGATTGCTGTGGGTTTAAATTTCAAGTTGATCAATCATGCATGAACTAGAAATTCATATTATAGTAAAGCTTTTGAAAGGAAATTGTATCAATGTGTCTCTAATGGCCGTAAGCTCCATTAAGAAACACGCAGCCATTATCTCTGGTGTGAGTTAATTCTGTTATGCAGGCAGAAGAGGAGTACTTGAACAATTGAAGTAGGCAGTACAACCAAATGTTAACAATGGCTTTAAACGCAAATTTCTCGAGAATCAAAACACACTAACGTGGATGAGTTTTGATTTTCAATAAATTTACGTTTAAAGCTATTTCTTAGGTTTGGTTGTTCCGCCTATTTCAACTATTGGTCTAGAATATGCTGCTCATTGCTGCGTTGCACTAAAAAAAAAAATACACACGTCATCATAATGTGTCTCCCACTTCATTTAGCACTTATTGTGAAATGCATTTATTCAATGTGTGAATCTTATGCCACATAACTCATTTAATATTTGTTACTGTAAAACATCGTCGCTAAAAGATTACCGCCATCTGTTGAGTACACTATGGTGGGTAGAACGCTGAACAGATGGCGGTAGTGTGTAAACGTTAAACGCAAGAGAATTAACTCTGCGCGCCACAGGTGGCGGAACTACCAACTACGATACTCTTAAATTTACCGTAAATGCTTGTTCGATGAACAGCTTGCAAGTGTTATGTCTGTTTGTCTGTGCTTATGCTATGAACCATCAATGTCCTTTATATAAGGTTCGTGGAGGCCGACTCTATCTACGATGTAGGAAATTTTTTGTTTAGCTGCGCGCACGCTGATATGATAGAAAGAAGATTGATGACGATTCAGAAGATATCCTGCAAAAAGATGATACGCGATGCAAGTAGATGCGAGAAATGAAAGAAATTTTTTCGAAGATTGATTCGCTAGTGTGAGATTTGTTGAGCATCTAGAATTGAGATTTAGATATGTTGCACCCTTCGGGGCCAACAGGCTTATTGGTGTTAGTGCATTGTGCAAATGTTTAGTGGTGTTCGTATTTCATTGCAATGTTTATCAGCTGTTGGCAGTGACTTAAATCTCACTGTTCGCAGTGTAGATTAGAGATTGCTAAAGTATGATTGGGTCAGTGATTTGACTTTATCGGAAAAATTTTCCGCTATGAAGTTTTTTTTTTTCGATGAAAACATTTTGCTTATACGTATACGTGACGTAGTGTGCGTACGATAAACGTCAGCAATCTCTATGTTATGGTAGAGTGACGTCGTCACTTGAGTGCTCAGAAATGTTTACATTTTTTTTTGCTTCTGCTTCAAAACTACCCAAATTTGGGTGGAATCCACCCAGATCTGTCAAAACTGGACCTACACAAAAATGGGTAAACTGTGTTGGGAGTTACAAGTTGACAAATGAACAACAACGACATGAATCCGATCGATGCAAAATGTTGCCGCGCACTTCATTTTTATTCAGTTCCGGTATCGGTTCCGGTAGAACGTTCAAATTTTCTAAACAGCATTGCTGCACTGTATGAAAGCCATTTGAAGCCACTCGAAAAAAACATGGTTGCCATTGACATTGCCAAAGGATCCCTCAAAAGCCGTGCTGCTGTTTTGACAGAAATTTTCTTCTGGTAACGGATTGATACGCATTGCTTCATGACCGGGTAAGATGATGATTATGTATGATATAAGATGATTATGATCTCTAGAACAACTTTGCCCAAGACAGCAACTTTCTATCTGCTCAGGATCTCGAGCTATTGTATATGCGAAAATTGCACGTATATACTAGCGCCACGTAGCGAGAATTTTCTGAAGTACACCACCAACGAAAAGATCTTGACTTCCTGAAAAACTTTGCCCAAGACAGTAACTTTTTATATGGTAAGGATCTAGAGATATTTTATATATGCGAGAATTTTACATGTATACTAGCGCCGCGAAGTGAGAAAACTCTGAACTACTGTCCACCAACGAAAAGGCCTTGACCTCCTGAACAACTTTGTCGACGACAGTAACTGTCTATATCTGGTCAGGATCTCGATATATATAACATGCGAGATTTTTACATGTATACTAGCGCTACATGGTGAGAAAATTCTGAACTACTGTCCGCCAGCGACAAGGCTATGCTCTCCTGAACAACTTTGTCAGAGACAGTAACTTTCTATCTGGTCAGGATCTCGATATATTCCATGTTGTAATCAATTAAGGAAAATTCCACGTAGTATGGTCACGGTTTTCTCGGTTTCCATTTACATTTTTTCAATTATCCGCATTTTTTAGGTGTTTACTGTAATCAAAGTTTAACTTGTTTAGATCAAAATAAGTTTGTTGAGGAATACTCGTCGGTTTCAGATCGATTGCGCAATGGAAATCTCATTTGTGTTGTACAAAGTACAACAGCGCGAGTAACGGAGGGTTAAAACAGTTCAGACATGAAAAAGTTTTTGTAAGAAAAACTTTTTTTCCTTAAAAGTGCTCATCTCGCGATGTATGGACGGTTGGTAGTAAACATAATTACCTATCTTGAAGCAAAGTTTCATCCAAATCAAACGGCCATTTTTTTTAATATACTTTAAATTTTAAAAAATCGATTTTTTTCAGTGTAGGTCTCAAATGAAATTTTTTTCCAATAACTTGGACAATATCCTAAAAGTCATCCATATGAAACATTTTTGTAGGAGTTGTCATTTTTCCATAATATTTTTTTGAAAAAAATCGGCAGAAAAAGTTTGGCCCTTCTCAAATGTTAGTCTAGATAAATTTTGGAAAAACTGAGTATGCAAAGTGGCATATTTAGTCAAGTTCCACACATTCAGAAAGTTTCATTGAAATCTGAGAGGGTGCTGCCAGCTCCGAATACGATTTGGCGCGAAATGCGTCGTCTGCGAACAGAGACAACGATCCACCATCAGAGGGAGCCGGAATATTGGAGCTGAATAGATTGAACAGGATGGGCCCAAGGATACTGCCTTGGGGCACTCCTGCATCGATGTTGAAGGCATCCGATGTGATGCCATTCAGAGAGACCTGGAACGTCCTGTCCGATAGATAATTTAGTATGATCTTCATGAGGAAAATCGGAAGACCGTATCGATGCAAATTGTACACTTGTACACCAGGCGAGACATTGTCAAACGCTTTTTCAACGTCTAAAAATGCCATAGCAGATGTTTTAGAAACAGCCTTGTTCCGTCTAAGAATTTTTGTTACTCGGGTCAGTTGGTACACGGTTGATCGACCTTTTCGAAAACTAAACTGCTCCTCGAGTAAGATGTTGTTTTCTTTGGCAGATGCCCTTTCGAACAGCTTGGATAACCCTGAGAGAAGGCTGATGGGTCGATAACTTGAAGAAGAGGAAGGATGGTTGTAGAATCTGGAACTCAAGCACTTGAGCTCCAGATTCAGGATGTTTTTCTTCAGGTGTTATCAGGTGAACCACTGAACCGTCGGGGCAATTCAGTGGAACCAGCGGTGGAATAGGCCTCGGTTTAGTTTTGAGGACTTTTGTTAGTTTCCAAAAGGGTTTTGCACAATCTGTACGGAAACGGAGGCTATTGGCAAAATTCTCATTCCTGAGTTCCACAATTTTGGCTTTGATAAGTTTGGTTAGCTGGTTCGAATAGGTTTTCAAGATAGGCAGTCCAGTCCTCTGGTACTGCCTACGCATGGCGTTAGGGTGTTTGATTAGGCTTTTACTATTCTGATCAAGGTCCAGAGAATTACTCACCCGTCTGGAAGCTGGCAGGTTTTGTTCGAGGGTTCGGGTCGCTAGCCCCAGAGCTTGTCCCATCCAGGAAGAAAAACGTTCATCTCCAGTTTCAGGTGAGTTTCGGTGATGATGGCGATGTCGATGCTATGTTCGTTGAGGAAGTCAATGAACTTGATAATTTTGCTCTTGAGCGAGCAAGCGTTCCAGTTTGCGATTTTGATGAGCTCACGGTTCATAACTGAGCATGAAGGTAGCCACGGTGTTGGCCACACTGGCCTGAGCACACCTACCGTTGGAACCTACTTGTGTCGGAACACCCCTGCAGTGGGTTCGGCAGCGAAGTGACAGCGGAGTGACAGATATCGATCTGTCACACCGGGTGAGTAGAGGAGAAAAACAACCGAGAACAAAGAAAACAAGTGTAAAAAGTAAATTGATCGCTCTCGTTATTCTTAAAATTATCAGTAATCTAGTGAACTTAATTATAGTTGAACTTAAAGCTAATGTGATTAGTCACTACTAGGTTTATCTTATATCTACACACTAAATTAGGTAAGTTTAATACAATTAAACTAAGCTTAAATGTAACTAAAAACTATGCTTACGCACTAGGTAACCTAAACCTATCACTGAACACCATATACTCTACTCCGTGAAACCCGTAGCCACTGGTATCGGTAAGAAGTTAAAGCAAAAATATGTATAAAATGTATATCGATGATCTTACTTACAATTACCTACACTAGGGCTTACAACTAAACACTTCGACGGCATCACGCTAGACAACACCCGAAATTATACTAAAAGGAAACTAAACGTAAGTCACAAAATTATAATCTACACTTACAACTAGGACTAGAATTAGGTTGAGAACATAATGATAAACAATGTCATGTACACTCTACCTACATTCCAACCTTAAGCAATATCAAGGCCACATAAATCTATAGATAGACTAACTAATTCCAATTGAAATTGTCGTTATCTAACACAGGAAATTATATTCTCACTATCACCGGATTATACGTCTTTTATTCGCTTCCGGTCGAGAATCATAGTATCGGAAACTTCCCGTTGAAACTGAATTTCAACACACGGCTTAGAGCTGGTCGGATTTGTTCTTCATGGTGTTGGCAATGTCGTGCATCTTGAGGAAGATGATCATTAGTTCCGCTGCGGTGAACCACGAGCCATCGTTGATTTCGGGCTACGGTAGGGACGGTCCATCCTGACGCCAGTTTAGCCCAGGGGCTGTGGGGGAGATTCTGCGGCTGTGGAGCAGCAGTCGTCTCTTGACCTGAGTTTGCAGGGGCTCCGGCAGTTTGAACTTGAGCGGTGGCGGCACGAGCAACAACCAATCGTTGATTGAGTGGCAGCGGTGGCAGCTCTGTAATCGGTCGACCGGGCTGTTTTCTCGTCGATGCTTTTTTTCCGGATGTATGTACTCGGTGCGCTTCGGGCAGGCCTTGCTTGTAGCTTCATGAGCAGCATTGCCATTTGTGCAAATGGGATCGGCTTCATCGAGTCTGTCGCAGGTGTCGGTTTGATGTTGCTTCCCACACTTGGTGCAGCGGCTGGCCATATGGCAATTCGTCGTTCCATGCCCGAGCAATAGGCAGTTCGAGCATTGGGTGACTCCTCGGCTAACTGGCTTGTACCGCTCCCACTTCACCATGGTGTTGAACAGGACGTCCTTCAGGTTGTAGGTCCTTCAGACTTGTTGAGTTATTCTCAAGGTGGACCAGGTATAGCTGGTCACGCTATTAGACGGCTTTCTTGTGGCGAGCCATCTTGTGAATTTGGACCGGCTTCAGTCCATCGGACGCTTGTGTCCATGTCATATAGTCCTCGTAGGACCACCTTGAGCGGCTTAACAGCCTCGATGTCGTGGGAGAAATACTCCACCAGTGTTTGAAGTTTTCACTGTTCACTGAATAATTCACGTGTATTTCCGCAACCGTTGGACCCCCATGTGTCAGTAAACTAAACTGATTTCCTTGTATCGGCGAGACGACGAATCATGGCACATAAAGAAACAGAGAAAAATAAATCTTGCTGCATCGATGATCAAATACGTTCACACAAACGATTTACTACTGACGGTATCATCGAAAGAATCTTTATATTCGTGTTTACCATTCGGCATGGATTGTGTGCGTTAGTTTCTGTTCATGATACATCTGCGTATCGCAGTATAACACTGGCGAATGGTTCATATTCAGCAACATGTAATGACACTGAATATGGATGGTCAAAAGCTGTTGCATAAAGTGAACATTAACTTTTCACATCGAATTACGTGGGCTATTGGGGGAGATTTTGTATTGCCAGGTTCCTAATTTTGCGTACATATACTAGCCATTGTAAATCCATTGTAATACTATATTGCTGAAAACTTTTTCAGAGGATTTCCAACAAAACATAATCCCTAGTACCCCTCATGATCTTGACTGGATTTTCTTTATTGGTCGGGATGTTAAGGCGTCGTCCACTGTTGTGGTGATGTGGCATGTGGCCTCTCATTCCACAAAACACGCATGCAACCTCGATTAATGTCAGACACCCACTGCCCCACTACTGTGGCGGCGATGTGGCGTGTCAAAACATTATGCTGAAACATTGCATGTGGCGAACGTCAACATGATTTTAGTCAAGTTAGTTTCTGATATGGCGGCGGAGTGGCATCTGTTAGCATGGTAAAAAAGCTTGTCGAGGTTTGTCTTACGCCACATTACATCCACATGATCTTTTGGCATGTTGTATGATGCCGCACCGTCCCCACAACAGTGGGCGCCTCGTCTCGTGTCCGCGGTACGTTGTTCTAGAGTTTTTATTTTCGATTACACGAGTGAATCCCACAAATTTAATACACGTATCATGTGGAAATTTGATTTAATTGGTTCCAAAATGGAATACCCCGTGATCCCGGCGATATAGGAAGTTACTGTGTTCGGCAAACATTTTCAGGTGACTAAGATCTTTCCGATGGTGGACATATAAGTTCAGAGTTCAGTCACTAGAAGGCGTAAGTGTATATATGAGATTTTGTATGAACCATTTATATCTCATGAACCAGACATTCATGGAAATTACAATCCTCAACAATGTTTTTTTTTTTCCCGGTGGACAAGGCCTTCTACATGAAGAACAGGTTAATTGCGAATGCTCTTGTTACGCGGCTCTATTGTATATGTGCTTTATCACAAGATCCTGACTTACTTGGAAAATACAGTCTTCTACATAGTTGGTAAGCTAACCAAGTCCTTTCAAATGATGGACAATACACTCTTAGAAATCATCGCCGACTTCGGTCATTTTTACCGAAATCTGAACAGCTGAACTTTTCTATAAAATTTATGCAATTCAATTCAATTGCTTTTCAGCTAAACTAACTAATAGCGAATTCGTTTATTATTCAGTTCCAACCTGGATCGGCTATCAAGATTGGGTCTGCTTGTTTTCTGACAAACGTCAGTTTGCTCGTTTGTTTTTAAAACCTAGCTCAGGTTGAGGTTAACACTGACAAAAAGTTCGGTTTCGCACTGGGTTGGAACTGGTGTTAACCCCGATAATAAACGAATTCGCTATAACTTATCCGCGTTCCATTTCTTCGATTATTTCTTCCCTTATTCGCTCGTAAGGTACCGCAGGACGAAGGAATGTTTCTTATGTACCTAGCTGCGCTGTGCTACTGCCAGAGTTGGTGCGGTAGAAAGATGACGTTTGCGATTCCTTATGTATGTATTCCTGCTTTGTACGGATCTGTACGGCAGTGTTGTGCGGTAGACACGAAGAGAAGATATGTGCAGTCCAAAGTTGTATACAATCATTGAACGCATTATTCGGTGAACTGTTGAGATCGTTTTTTTTTTGTGCAACCATCGTTCTTCGTTTCGTTCATTCATTTGGTGCTACAAAACTGAATACTCTTATTCGGCAAAGGTGTCTGACACTTCACTCATTTGTGAATATCAATTCATGACCAGTTACGAACCTGACACACGGTAGTTCAATGGCATGTTGACAGATTTCCAAACACTGTACTCCACCTGTGCTTGGTCCATCATGATCTGAACCGCCTTATAATGGTTCAACGCAGGAACCATCAATTTGTATCCTTCCGTGCACAACTGGACGCCCTTCGTGATGTAGAAGTTCATTTTTTCCCGCTGTCCGGGAGGGAAGCCTTTCAAGTAGAAGGGTGGCATTCTGTCCTTTTTCGGCGGTCCTGTTATTACCGTCACCGGCTCTGCACCGTCCTTCAGAACGGAGAACCGATTGTTGTCAAGCAGCTTCTTCGCAGCTGTCGCACTGTCACTATTGTCTTCAGGCCTAGACCGTTTCCCGGGATTGCCAGCACTCGCGCCACCTTATATAAACGTCATTGATGAATCATATCTGAACAGTATTGATTTGGTTTGAGACACAATTGGATTCTATGTGCCTCACCTGGTGATATCAATAGCATTGCACATCATAGTTCAATGTTCTTGTATTGTATTTTACATTTCTAACTGGACTCCTCAAAAGTGCGGAATCACTAATAAAAGTGCTATTTTACGTTTCATTGCATTCTCTTCTGTGCACTTTTTCGTTATTAGCCAAGACTAAAAGTAAATTTGTACGCCCCTCGCGCTTTGCTAGCACGCCTCTAGTGTTGGGAATCGAAAATCTTTCATACACGGAAAGGAATGGTGCAGTAGAATCTACCATATTGGTGGTTTAAATTAAACGTAACGTACCTACGTTTTTTTGCAGACTACATCATGTGTTCACAACGAGCACAAGTGTAGTCAAAAATATTATTCAGTAAACATTCTCAGTTTATTGTATTCCCAACTGAGAATGCTCTCACTTTTACTACGGGTTTGTGCATTGGCTTAGATATTCTGCTATAAAATAATTGTTGAATTTACTATGCTCTGTGATGTTTTACTATGGCATGGTAATTATTGTTTTGTTTTTCAATTTATTTTTGAGGGATGTTTTTAAATTTTACTTTCCAAATCGAAAATCTAGATTTTATTCATTAAAATTTATGGAACAATATACCATAACACAAGCAACAATATTAGTTAGAAATTTAAATTATAAACAATAATTCCTGCAACATTCATTATGGTTGATCTTCCAGAAATTTCACTTTGCCGTGGCACAGTTCCCTGGTCCTAATTCCAGAGCAATTGGATTCAGTGGCTTCAGCTTCAAAAAGTTCCAGCAGCCGAGAGCTACTCCATCAGAGTTCGTGGGTGTTTGAAATGGTGCCGCTTATTGCGATATTGGTTTGTGCGATGAGCTGTAAATCGGGAGACGTTGTCGTCTGAATGCGTCATAATGGGCGGCAGATTCAGGTTACATTTTTGCTTCCAACTGCAATATTCGAAAGAAAACAAATAAATTAAGATTGAAAATTCTAGCTAACATACTTACATACTTACCTAGCAAATCAACGATCTTTCACAATAATTTTCATTTTTTTTCGAAGTATTCCACTCACAACTGGAGAAGGCGATATGGTTGCTGTCTAGTTCGATGATGGGAAAGACGATATTTTTCATATTTACAAATGGCTGCAACCAGAAGTTTATTGTGAATCGGAAAATAACACAAGCATGGTATTTTCAATCGCAAAATATTATCAGTGAAAAACTGTCGGTATTGTGCAATTAATTCTACCATATTAATGGTAGATACGTAGACAGAAGACAATTTTATCTCATTAGCGGAAGTTGCAGCTACCATGAAAATGGTAACTTTGAAGAGGAATAGCTGCTTGAATTGTCGATAAAATGTTGTTAGTTTTACCATGGCATTTCTAGCCAATGCATAGTAGATTTGAACATATCGTAGGAAATATTGAGTAATTTGTATTTATATCTACTATTTCGTGGCATAGTAGAAACAAACACTCTTTTCGAGTGTGAGCTACCATTTAAATGATTTCAGTGTAGTGGTGTGTTTACACTTCTATAGAGAACAACTGGTGCAAGTTGGATCAAAGTAGTCGATCTCGTTCGGAAATAACGTCAAATGGAACTCGAAAGAAGGAAACATAGT